CCTTGGGCAGAAGCCGACCCCTTGGTCCAGTGATCTGGGTGAGAACTCGATCTGAAACAGGGCACACACGTTGATTTGATATGATTTGTGTTTGTTTTGTAGTTTTTGTCAAAGTCTGGATAGAACTGAATCATCAGCACCTATCAGCACCTACCAGTGGGAGGCTGGAACTTGTATCTTTTCCTCGCCGAAGATAGCATGCAACTCCGCATTGCTGGGGTGCCTAGAAAGGGCCAATTCCAGCGGGCTCTCCTGTGCCAAACGTGTCCGTCTGCGATGGAGTGCCTGAGGCACCTTGGGCGGAGTGCAAGAAGCACGGAGAGCCAAAAGCAAGCGACAAATGGAGCTGTCACCCCCAAGTGCAGCCCAATGCAGAGCCGTCCGCAGCTGTTGATCTCGACAATTGATTTCTGCCTTGGCATTGGCCGCCAACTCGACTGTCTCAAGGTTACCGGACCGTACCGCATAGTGCAAGAGTGACTGCTTACTGCTGTCTCGACTTTGTGCATGTGCTCTGGCTGCCAACAGCGATTGAAGCGCACTGTAGTTCCCAGCAGCGCATGCAACATGACCAGGGCTGGCATGCGTTGCTGTGGGATGCATCACATTCGCAGCAAACTTCACCAAGAGTTGCACCATGTTGCTGCTGCACTTGGCCGCCGCCCAATGCAACGGTGTCATTCCAGCTTCCCTGGGCCCAAGACCTCCAGTTGCTGAAGCGCCAGCCACCAGCAGCGCATGTGCTAAAGTCTCTCGCTGGGCGCGGATCGCGTGCTCCAAGGCCCTGGACGACTTGTCGTGCTGGGACGACTCGACCATCCCTCCTTCGAGCTCGTCGCGCTCGACGTCGGACGTCGCGGGAGAGGTCCGGACCCCGGCGCGGGCGAGGAATTCGGCATAGTGGCTGAGAATGGGTCGCTCCAGCAGGGCACATGGAGCAAATGGACCCCCATCGCACAAGCCGAAGTGACATTCGGCATCACCGGCTCGCTCAGGCGCCAGGAACAAGGATGCATCTCCTGCAGGACTTCGCCAATCACTGATGCCTTCCGCCCACTTTTGCCCTCCTCCACCACCGTGCAGCACCGCCCGCAATGAGCGGGTCACCCGCACGGCCAACACAGATCCACCACCTAAGGCATAGAAATCCTGGTTGGTTTCAACCATCCCAAACATTCGTGTCAATTGGGATACTCAGGGAACATGTCCAAACAAAGGAGGGTAACAAATAGAAACCCAAAAATCAATGAACACCAAATCGATTATGCCAAAAGCCAAACAGAGGCATAATATGAATCTTTGTTTAACAACACAAGGAATCGAGCGGCGCCACAAAAGATAGACACTCCATGTATGCCATATATATGCCTACATTGACCCCCCAAACCACCCCAATGTAGGTAAACATACCATACATGTCGTGTCTGGCTAATACAACACATCATGTTGTGTCATTCGATTTCCAACTGGAAGCCACCAACTTCAAAAATCCATCAAATGTCGAACCTTGAATAACTCACCCAACCATTAATTGTAACCTCTTCATATGGGGGGTTGACATATCTATACATATTACTCTTAGTTCACCCAGGCTCAGCAGTTCGCGACATCTGTGCATCTCCCACTCCCTCCGCAGCCCAGGCAGCGGCCACGGCTTCCTCCAAGGCTCCCCGCGGCGCTTCGCCGTGTTCGGGCGCTCTGTGCTCCAGCCGTTCTGCGGTGCTCGGGCGCGGCTCTGGGGGGAGGGCGGCGCGATCCGTTTTGCCGTTCGAGGTCAAGGGTAGACGCTGCAAGTCCACGAAGCGACGAGGTCTCATGATGCGCGGCAAGTGCTTCTCACAGTGTGAGCTGATGCAAAGGTAGGAGATACCATCAAGGACCTCATTGGCGAGAACAAGATACGCAAGTAAGGTGCCACTCTTCCAGGGAACCACTGCGCATTGCGCGACCAGTGGGCTTAAACTCAGCGCGTGTTCCACTTCTCCCAACTCCACCCGTTCTCCATTCAGCTTCACCTGAAGATCTCGGCGTCCCAGCACTTGCAACAACCGGCGTTGCCCGTCTTGGGTGGTCGACCTAGGAACCCAACGGCCAGCATCACCGGTCAGGTAACAACGTTTCTGATCTGCAGCGACAAAGCGAGCCGACGTCAAGTCCGGCAGCTTGAGGTATCCACGGGCAATGCCAGAACCAGCCAAGCAGATTTCACCGACCTCATGGTCATCAGTATCAGTATCATCACACCATGGCTGGAGAGAAATGAAGGTTCCTGGAAAAGGAAGTCCTGCGGTCTGCGGAGGCGTATCTGCTTGCATGAGCATAGCTGCTTGGTAGACCGTAGCTTCAGTGACCCCATAGATGTTTCGGAGTTGGACGGAGGAGGCCCAACGTTCCACCAACTGCGCGGGCATCTTTTCACCACCCAAAGATAAGCACCTCAAGTGTTTGCTGTGCCGAAGCATGGAATGATCCGCCAGCTGCCAAAGTGCAGGAGTCGCACAAACATGAGTAGCTTCAGATTCGAGCAGCACCTTGCTGAGTTCCTGCAACAACTCCACGCGCGGTGCCAAAATCAAAGCGGCACCAGCAGCAAGAGCGCAAAAGATGTCGCCCTGACATGGATCGAAGGTGATGGCCGAGGTCAGGAGAACCCTGCTGGATGCATCGATCTCTTCCACCGAAGCTTTGGCCAAGGCATACCATGCAGCTTGCCGGTGCTCGCAAAGAACGCCCTTGGGCTGGCCAGTGCTGCCAGAGGTGAATTGGACGTAGCACAAGTCCTGTGGGCGGATCGCTCGACCTGGGTCGGCTTGGAGATCAGGAAGCTCCAGCAAAGCCTCCACGCAGCGGATCTGGAACTTGGACGGGTTTTTAGGGGATTGAAGGGGTGTAGGTGTAGGTCCAGAGATTAGTGGTGGATCATGGTGGAGGCGCTTTTTTTTGCAATCCTCCAAGGCCAAAGCCAATCCCTTTCAAAGGAAAAAAGGATGAGCCACGGCCAGTTCACGTGGTAGAACAAGCCCCTTATATACTACTGGATGGTTGTAATCTCACTGCCGTAGCTGTTTCTTTTTTTGCCACAGCTCAGCTGGGTGGATCTCCCCTGCCTCCAAGGTCCAGACGGGAACCGGGAAATTCTCGACGCAAAAGTCTCTGGGTGCAATCAGCAGTTCAGCGCCTGCCATCATCAGCATGCTTTCCAGTCGTGCGCGCGGCTGTCGCAAGTCCAAGGGCAGAAAGTACATGCCTGCCTCCAGGGCTGATTTGCCCACATGCATAGAAGCAACTATACAAACACCGTGCTGCCGCTTGTTCAGGGGTCCTTTAACTGCTCTAGTTCCAAACCACAAACATTTGGAGCATTGAGCTATGCATCTAGACCACTCAACCCTGCCTCGAGGACAGCTACTTGAAGCAACACCAAGCCCATGCCCTCATCCAGACCAAACGCGACGCAAGCTTGTGTTTCCGCCGCCCACAGTTGTCGCAAAGATCGGGCCAATCGCTGTGCAAGACTGAGCAGTGAGGCAAAGTCCCATGTCTTGTCACCTAAGGAAGTGACTGTGGCGGTGCTCTTCCACAGGTCACAAAGACTCACCTCTCCATGTGGCCAAGCAGATCCTTCCCAATCCATAGCTCAACTTGCTCTCCAGTTGTCATGAGGGGAGCGTGCTTAAATACAAACAAATATCTCATCGGTCCAGGCTGCCTTCATCTAGTTTCATGTCGAATTCGAGGCAGCAAAAGGGAGGTGGAGATTTAGCCTAAATCGCTGACTCTGACATGGATTTAATATTTATCCAGTAACCCAGAGTGACCTTGCAATGATGGGTCTTCCTAACTCTTTTCTACTGTGCTTTGCTATGGACGGCCATTCCCTGAAGCCAAGCTCAGACCGGAACGAACATCCCAGAACTGTTCAAAGAGTGGGTCGTGTGGAAGGTCAAACCGGACTGACGTGGAGAAATTTCAAACAGGTCAAACCGGGTCACCAACAGTCAAACCGCGTGACCCATCTGATCTCATGCCGTGAGCTCAGGCGAAGACGAGAAGGGAAGGGGTAGTCCGATGTCCACACCAGGAGTCGGTTGTAAACCAGTTTCAAAGGAGTGCGTTTTACAGGAGACCAGTGACTAGGGCCTTAGGGCCTACAGACTCACTTCGGGAGCAAAAGGGCACCCCAATCACCACTCCGGTGGGGGCTTTTGGAACTGCTGGTATGATCACAGCGGAACTGCTCGTTTCTGTTCTTCCCGGCCGATGTACCCGTAAACGGTTGACGTGGTCGTCGCGGTCGTTGACGTGATGGATTTTCTTCTGGAAGGTGTACCTATACATTGACCCACATAACCAACCCTTTATAAGTACATATGCCAGTCCCATGGATTGGTTATTTGGGTCAATGTATATATATCCCACCCTAGGGATCCAGTCGTACCTTCTCAGGTGGTGATTGGAGACACTGTTATGTAGGTGCCAGGAGGGTCCAAGTACCTTCTGAGAAGGTACTTGGATCCCTAGGGTCGGATATACATTGACCAATAAAACCAAGCCTTTATAAGTACATATCCCAGTCCCATGGATTGTCATGCCGTCAGAATGTGATTCGATTCATCAAAGCCCCCCATATCACATCATATCACCATACCGTACATTAAAGAGCTTTTGCAACCCAAATGGGGGTTCCGTTCATCAACAGTCTACAATATGCCATCAAACAAAGCCTAATTTCATCTATGTATTTATGTAATACATTATTTCTAATCCCGCCCGTCTCGTTGCACGTGTTTTCATGAAAAAACCTGCGTAACTCGCCCCGTCTCAGATTCCAACTCCTTGGAGCGAGCCTCCAATTCCGCAGCCGTGGCAGCGGCCTGGCGGGTGGACAACCGAGGGAGGCAGACCCAAACAAAGGTCACAAATCAAATGGGCAGAACATCTTTGTTAACAAGCTGTGGAATCCAAATCCCCGCTGGCCCCTGCACCCCACCCCCAGTCACAAGATGCCAAAAGGACATACTGTAAACAAAAAGCCCTGCAAGCATACATAGCCCTCTCCTGAGAATGGATGGGCACGAAGCTCGAAAGCTCCGAATCCCACCGGAATGGCCTGTGCCTTGAGCTGCGCCAGGCCCTCAATGGCCTGGCGGCACGCGCACGATCGCGTGCTGCGCACACACGGCGTTTCCCAGCGTTGGACGTACGGACTCAGGGGGCGAGGCCCATGGAGGCCCCTATAGTCTGGTGGCTGAAAGCAGTTTGATGTCCCAACAGGGTGGCTCATGTGACTCAAGCTCCCCCTTTTCTTCATGCTTTTGCTTTCTTTATGTTTTCGGTATCAAGCAGGGTCTGTAACAGCTGCAAGACTCGATGCCTCTGCCTTTGCACGGCTGGCTGCCACTTTCTCCTCCTGGTCAACACACACTTCTCCGCTGAAAACAACACTGATCTGCGGGTTCTTACAAGACAAAACCATCGATGAAATCGTCTCCAAATCTTTGGAGGTCTTCCTCATCTTAGGTGACCCGCTGGTGGTCCATTCCCAACGGCCCAGCCGGGTGTCCTCCAGCAGGGCCTGCATCTTGGGCACTTCGGTCTGCGAAGCCTGCATGCAGGGTAGACACCCACGTGTCCGCAGGGTCTATCTCCTGAAAGAAGATCCGTAGATTAAATATATATATATATATGATATGATGATAATATGGTGGATGCAACTCAAGGCAGCAATGAACCATTAGACAACATGACAACAACAAAAAAACATATATATATATATAATTTATGTGTATGTTTTAAATCCACACACTTCTCGAATGGCTTTGAGACTCTCCATGTTAGTTTTCACCCATTTGGCCACTCCAGCGCCAGTCGGCCTCGCTCAAGCGTCGGCATTCGGCCCTCCAGGTGTCAAGTTCCGCTTTCAAAGTTGCCACCTGAGGTTGTGAGGGGACGTTGTGAGCTTGTGATATGAAAAACGTTGTTTTCATATGTTTTCATAATGTCCATATCACAATCTATGAAACGCATAGAGTCAAGATCTGTCAAGTAGAGGATCATGATTCAGCAAGGTTCTCGCTTTTTTACTGGGGGGCCTATGGCGGGCGTATCACACGTTCTGGCGGTTGTTATGAAGCTTCACGTTTCTTTGAGACCTTCGAGATGCAAACGCAACGTCAAATCATAGGTTTTGAGTGTAATGGGTGATGTGCATCTCAATACATGCAGGGTCTGAAAGTGGTCTTGAAATCAAAGTTTACTGGTTGCTTCGACCAAGTGCAGCAAACTCAGCATGATAGAGTACCTGTTTCCTCTGAGATCTGCTCCGGCTTCTTGAAACACGAGAGCTCCAGCTTCTGCTCCGGTTGGAGCTGGAGGAACTCGAGCCACTTCTATGTACAAATGGAGCGGTTGAGACCGGTACGCTTGGCAGTGCGATGTTCATAAGGCACGCCGCATTTTCGGCTGCTTCTCGCACAATCCAGTTCTCATCTGTCAAGCAAGCGGTGACGGGAGACAGGGCGCTGGCACGTGTCGACACAGCGGCCTCGACACATCGAGCCACGGCAGCGATGGCCTCCAAGGCGCAAACGGCCATGCGGTCAGAGGAGCGGCTGCGGGCCACAGCGCCTAAGGCACGGATGGCCAGGACACCTGCCGAGTCTGTGCGAATGATCTCAGGCAGTGCTTGCATGGCCAAACGACGGATGTCATCATCTGAATCAGAGATGAGCGCACAAACTGCAGATAACACTTGATTCACCTCTTCGCCAGATCCGCGGGATAAAGAACACAACAGCGCCAAAGCCTGTCGTCGAATCTGAGGCGAAGGATCCTTGGATGCCGCCACGGCCACTTCTTGCGCTTTCCGGTCTCCGGGTTCGGAAGCACTGGCCAGTGCCTCCAACGACGCGGATCTCACATCCTCATCGTCGTCTCTGGCAGCAACGGTGGCCAAGAGACTGGAGAGCTCACAACATCTTCCACACAAAGCTGTAAAGCATCCGGCGGTCCGAGCAGCAGCGATGCGAACGTATCCATCTGGATCCATTAAGCGTGGGGATAAAGAGTGTGTCATCAACTTTCTGAAGCCAACTTCCGCCGCCTCTGCCTTGTGTGCCTGACCAGGCATGGGGTCCACGGTGGGTCCATGCGGTCCATGTGTGGTCCACGTGTGTCGAGTGATTTAGCTTACCATCAGTGAGAAAGGTTGCGAACGTGTTGAAATACAGACCTGGCTAAGGTTCCAAACAGAATTGCTCAGAAACTTGCAGTTAGTTATTCTAAGTATTTCGGTGTGCCCTACTAGTTTTGGACGGTATCCATTCCCTTAGTTGATTTGTTGAACTTATGATCTATATATTTCATGAAAATTGAAATGGACCGCACATCAATGCTGCACTAAGATCACTAAGTCCTAAGGTGCACATCAACACCACACACCACCTATTCGTCAAATTGAACAGCAAATATCAGCGGCCTGAAGACAGCGTGCAATGTTCTTCAAATTTAGTGCTCCCCAGGCCTTCACTGTCTCCCACAACTTGTGAATGAGCTTGCACAAAAAGGCTATCGACTATCATAATACATAGTGTGGCTAACAGTGCTAACACTGCAATGTCATCCTTGATTCCGTTACATTAACTCACCTAATATTCAATTTTCACAACAAACAGTGGTGCACTACAATACTCCGTATGTAGATCATGAGGGTGCTCCCGTCTCTACTTCGGCAACACAAACATATCTGTTGGACTTGGATATTGAGAAAAACAAGTCTCACAATTACAATACCTTGGGCCCTTGGGCCTGTCCTATTGCCAGAAACCATGTAACCATGGTGGTTAGTGAAGGCCTTTTTTTAAAATAGTGATAATGTTAACACATGTTTACTGACTGTTACAGGTAATTTCACAGACCCAAGCAAATGAAAAACGGTCCTTGCCCTCTACTCCCTGTCCACTTACAAACATGCTTTGTCACTGTCAGGGACAGCCTCGGGGACGTACTTCAGGCATGCAGATGTTAAAACTTCCTGCAGCGTCATCAATGCCATGCACCTGGTTTCTGCTAGATTGCAGTCCAGCAGCTCCACCAGCTTCTCTGCCAGCCTCGGCCCATGGGTGGACCTACCAGCCATCAACACAAGCCCGGCACCGGCAGCTTTGCGCACCTCGGCATGTGGATCCTGCAACGCGCCCACCAGAGCGTGGCTGACGTCCTCATCGGCGCCCACGTGGGGCAGCGCCAGGGCCACGGACGAGCGGACGGAGTCATGTACGTCGGCAAGGCATGCGAGCAAGGCACTCTTGGCTCGAAGATGCGGCCGATCTAAACACTCCAGGAGCTTTTGCAAGGATGCGGCCGCAGCACGCTTCACCCAGTGCCGCCGGCTCTGCATCTTGTCAGAAACTCGATCGGCAATCACTTCCACGGCATCGTGGTGTCCCTCTGCAGCAGCATACTGAGCAAAGTGTGCGAAGGCAGAGACAACGGCGAATTGCACATGTTCATCTGAGTCCTCTAGGCTCAGCAACAGAAATTCAAGCCGCGATATGGGCATCTCTTGTAGCGAGAGAGACATTGCTTGAAGCGCAGCTGCTTTGACTTTCCCGGATTTCTGCTGCGCAAGCTTCTCCAAACACTGAAGGGCAGGTGGCTCCAAGGGAGACCAAGCCAGTAATGCATTCACAGCAGCCTTTCGAACATGAGCAGAAACATCGGAAAGTGCGCGGACAGCCACGGAAATGGTCTCATGTCGAAAGGCGTGGAAAAAGGGGTCCCTTGGAACCAGCTGGGACAAGACCTGGAAGGCAGTGGCGCGAATCTCGGCTTCATGATCCTGTGAGAGTGCCAAGACCAAGGCTGCTAGGGTCAAATTACCTCGGTTTTGCTTGCAAACGGCCGATTCCAAGGCGGCCTTGGCTCGTCTCGTGTGTCCCCGGCCACCTCGACACAATTCCCGCTGTAAGTCTTGAATCTCTGGGGCTTCTAAAGCACCAGCCTCTGCTTTCAAAATGACCGCACGGAGGAAATCCATCGAGAACAACTGGAGCAATCCGTCAGCAGCGGATCGAGCAAAAGCCAATCCTCGCACTCCCAGAGTTGGACCAAGTCTTGCAAGATCAGCGGCTTCATCAGCATCTTCACCTCTCTCGCCATCTTCAACTTTGGCAAGCAAATGTACCTGAAGCTCATCTTCACACTCCAGCAACCTTTCAGCCATTTGCACTTCCGCAGCTTCGATGGCATCGTTCACATCCAAGAAGCTGGCAGCTCGGACAAACTCAGCAGCAGTTTCTGAGGGCCACTGCCTGGGCAACACCGCTCTTTCAATGAAGTCCTTCAAGCCGAACAAGCCCACCTAAAAACGAACGAAAAGCCGTGCAATGAGAATATGGAGGGCTTATGCGACGTCGGCTGGGTCGCATGAGGAAATGCAATTGTTTAAAACACCCACAATTACACCACATCAGCGGGTCAACAATTCTCCCACTTATCCTCGTTCTCAAATCAGCTGGTTCTGGTGTGGATTAAGGTGGACGCCGCACAACGAGGTGATCATGCCAAACAGGGAATAGCCACAAACCACGGATCTTCACTGAGGCTTTGGAGGTTTGGCCTTGCACATCTGTCGACCATACAGGTATGGCAGTGGGTCATGGCGGACCCAGCTTGACCAGTGAACATGAACAGAATAGACAGAGAATAAACGAGTAAGGTGAACCTACCAGGGTCCAAGAAAGGGCTCGACGACTGTTATTTTTTGCACAGCAGTATGTGGAGGCTTAAGTCGGTTCGAGCACCCCACCTTAGTGATTCCTGAAGCACTGGGCACTGAGAAGGCTTCACCCTCAAACAAGCCCTCCAATGATGCCAGCATGGGAGAGACTTGCTTGGGCAAAGTGACGACGGTCTCATCATCCAAAACCACACGAAGGGCTTCTGACTCGACATTCATGAAATCAAGCTCAGCTCACATCAGCGGCCACTGGTCGCGTCGCGTGGCGTTTTGGCTGTCGATCAAGAGTGAGGCTTGTTTCAAGTGGCAAAGAAAGTATACTTCAAGTCTAAACTAAAAGATTGCAAACACAGGGACATAGGGGTTCATGATGATTCGACATGCGCTGACAACAAAATCGACAGCTATCATTGGTGAATCTGCGAGAGCGAAGCAAATGCTGCCTGGGTTTGAATATGTTCGGATCCTGTTTGTCTTTCCCAATCAAGAGAGATTAAGTGACCTGAACTAGGACGCTGCTGGGGTACCTATGGGATAGTCAAACTAGGGTTGGAATGGGCTGGCAAATGACAGGTGTGATAGACTGTGCCTCCACTTTGAGCTTAGCGGTGCTCTTTTCGTCCACCTGCTTCTCATCATCATGCCTGCCAGCTGCACCCATCCGATACTGCAACCATTCTCATGCCACTGTCGTGCAAAGGGGGCCTGGCTGTGCAAGTTGAGGCACAAACAGCGAGTCGTACTTGGATGTTTGCATTCAAAAACCATCGACATTTACAGTGCTACCATAGACATTTACAGATGAAACACTAACACGCTTGTCGATATTTGTCGATGCTCATAGATGCTCATGGGGCCTGTGGCTTCTGGTGATTAGGCCTGGAATAGTTTTCCCAGAAACGGCCACAGCGGCTCCAGCACGATGACCATTCGTTTCTTCCGTTCTGAATTGCTGGCCAAGGGCCATACCCTGTAGATCCTATAGGCTCCAACTCAAGCGCCAACCCCCCGCACATCCTCCCAATTTTGCCTCTTTCCCTGGTCCATTCTTCCTTCGTCTTCCCCTTCGTCTACCCCACCCTCCGAGTTGCGCTTCTTCCCCGCGCAACAGATGTTCTTCATTGTTCTTCCACCCACCGCGCCGTCGCGCGCGGCGTCACGTCGCGAAGGGGCGACCGAAGGGCGCGGCGAAGATCGGTCCCCGCCTACTGAGGTCCACCTTCAGCTGATCGACCTCCCTCTGAGCCTGAGTGTCCGTCTCACGTCTCGGCAAAGCCCCAGAGGCGAAGCACCTACCTACGGCGTCCTACGGCCGCCCTGGTAGACTTCGTCGGACGCGCCAAAGCAAGTCCGGACGGTGGGAGGCCATCGCTAGTAGGTTGGAGGCCATCGCCAGGAGTATGGAGGAGTGGTGAATCTGAAAACTCAACGAACACGTTTCTCGCCGGAAAAGACACAGGCTCCTCCGCTGCTTTGTCTCCCACAGAGATTGCACCCACGTCGGTCACGGCAAAAAAGAAGCCCCAAACCGTGCGCCCCACCTGCTCCAGCCTCTCCTGCGTCCTGGCGTACTTTCGTGGACGTGGCTGGTGGTCGTGATGTTCCGGCGTTGGACTGACTATAGCCGACTATAGTGGTCCCCGAAAAAAATAGAAACGGTGCCCAATGCATTTTTAGTGGGGATATGTGGGCATCTACTCTTCTATCTATATCTATCTATTATATATTATATGAATTATATGTAAGGGTCTATATATATCTATATCTATGATGATGACTTTTGACGCATTCATATACTCAATGTGACTCAGTTTGAAGATTGTTAAGAGGGAATCGATGCCTGAAGCAGGACACTATAAATTCGGCTACGTCTTGCCCTTTGAAGATGCCGGAAGCGGAAGTTCGCCCCACTGACGCAAGGTTTTGGCTTCTGGAAAACGGACGCCAGGGCTGCCATGGGCTGCCCGAAACAGCATGGTTTCGGGCAGCAACATGTCGACTGTTGATGGTTGGGGGGCAAAACCAGGATAGCGACCAGTTGACCCACCTGGGAGGTCATTAAGGTTGTTCACTGGTGGACTGGTCGGGCTGCCATGACCCATCCCCTGATTAAGACCCCCCCCCAACCAGGCTGGCTTACATAGGGGAGAGTTTGATTCATCAACGGTCTAGAGTCGGCTGTGGGTCAAAACCCGGGCCCGGGGCCCCTGGTTGACCACGCAAATAGCTAGTTCCAAGGGGGTGGGGCTCCGGGTTTGGACTCTCTGTCATAGAAGCAAGTCTTGCTGATCAATCAATTTGATCGATACGGCCAAGCTGCCACGAGCGATCGAGCAATGTTGTGGTGATTCCCGCGAGCATCAATTATGGGCCCCCAACAGCTCCAAGAAAACACAAATCAAGATCTGCAATGATTATAAGATGTTATCATATTATCATATTGCATGTTGTCTTGCCAACCAGTGAGTGTCTTGTTAGGGGTTTGTCTTGTACTTGAAGGGATCCCTCGCAAGTTATTGAACAGTTCTAGCCTTCCCAAGTTACGACTGGTGAAGCTGCCCTACTTGAGAAAACATCAAATCGATGAAGGAGGACATGACAAGCAAATATCCCAAACTATATATAGTACTGCTTCTATAATTTGCTGTACACAGGCAAACCCTGTTTTCTCAACCAGGAAGGTGTCGAACAAAAGTGGAACGCGTGGAACGGCCCTTGCAGAAGTCACTGGGGTCGGACCCTCGATTCATCCAGGGCTCATGAAAAGGGCTCAAACCAAACTGCGGAGGGCTGGTGAAATGACCCTCTTCCAACTCCAGGGGTTTTCCCCCAAAAGCCTCTACACATCTCAGCTGACCCGATGCGTGGTCGGATGACCCGACTTCGTGCACAGCCCCAGACTGCAGCACAGACCGGAGTTGTTCGGTCGGTTTGGAGGCCAAGCGAGTGCGAGTGCATGGGACCCTCCGAGTTCGGCACCCCGTCATGGAACGGTTGATGTCTTCAGCGACCTGCAAGCTACCTGTAAGCTACTCTAAGTCCCAGGCCACGTGCAGTAAGGGTTTAAAGCTCATCTCCTTCTCCCTCTCCGTATCTATACGTGTTTTTTCAATTCACCGACCAACTGTACCTAGAGACCCAGAGAAGTGCACCTGAAAGGTTTATATGGTCACATGATGTTTTCTCTGGCTCTGTTCTAACATGGTTCGACGGACATCAGGTCCTCTGCTCTTGCTGATTGTTGCTTTCCTGCAATCAGAAACAACAAATACAACAACGACAACAACCACAGCCACAACCACCACAGGCCGCAAAATCCAAAAACAATCCACCAACACAACAATGACAACCACAACCAGCTTGGACTGATAATACTCCTAGACTAGAAAAGCAAGTCGGCTTTCAAAGACTGAGCCTGGTCAAATATCAGAAAACGATATGTCAATCGTTTGCATTAACGGATTTGAGATTCTATGTTTATCTACTGCCTCCTTCTGTCTCACACACACACAAATCTTCTACTGCCTTGGCCGATGCCAGCTGTTTCTTGAGCTCGTCAACTTCTGCCTGTCAAATCAATCAGCAAATTCTGATGAAGCAAAGTCTTTTGCCGCCATGATATAGAGACTAAGCAACCTGGACAGAACCTCCTCCGTTCCGACAGTGATGGGCCTGGAGCCCTTTCTGCAAGCTCTTCTCCGTAGTGATCTGTTGTTGCCACCGGCATTCTTCCTGTGCAATGCTTGAGACTTCGTGTGTGGAAACTGCATGTGTGAGAGATGCTTGGGGAGATCATGCACTTCATTCGCCTTGTGTCATTCCTCCAACAGCTCTCTACCACTTGCAGTTTCAACGCGTCTTGTAGTCACACTCTGTAACAACAGTGAACAATGCGTTCTGCACCGGAATCCTCGTTTGGGGCAGGCGGGTCCAACCCGCCTCTGCCTTGGCGGCAATCTGTTGACTCACTTGTGCCTGCGCAATCCAGCCATTCAGCCCCCGATGTTTGCTGAAAGGACTGCAGTCACAACCTCAACACATTTTGGATGCTTCCAGCTGTATGGTCGTACGCCAGTAGCCTGAACAAAACAGGCTCACCTGAAAAAGAAGCTGCACAACCCTTTTTTAAAAACCCGCAACAAGCTAGCATCTCTCTAGCTCCTACTTGAAAGGTGCTTTGATATGGTGGGTCCACAGTCCTCTCTTGACTTCTTCAACCAACCGAACCGAACGTAGCGACCTTGAGGCTCGCAAGCTCCCGCTGTGCATCGTCCAAACGCTGGGAGGCTTCGGTGGCCATCCTGGATCTCCGAAGAAGCGGCGTAGGGCACCGAGTCTCATGGCGGCTGACTCGAGACGGGCTGTTTTTTAGGGACTGGCCGGCCATGGCTGGCCAGTTGCAACTCACTGGAGAAGAAGTACTTTTTGCAGCCTCAAAAAAACCCAAAGGCTTGGCTTTCTTCCTTCCAGAGGCCTTTTGGATCCTTTTGGGGCATGCCGCCATGCCCTGAAAAGGGGCTCACATGTGGAACCGAGCTCACTGGGGAATCTGTTGCCCAGTGCGGTGTAGTGATACATCCATCTTCTTCGTTCACGCCAGTCACCAAGGTCAAGTAACAGAAGAATGTCATCATATTTTGTGTTGTATATATATACTTATACAAATATATATATATATAGATATGGTACCAGTAACTGTGGATGACGATGCTTGGCAAATGCCTCTTTAAAATAGTGATAATTGATTGTTTACCGACATTTATTTCAATAGGACAAACCCAATGTATGTATATATATATATTATTTTGTTATATCATGTTATACTACACATGAAAACCTATAACAATCTGGTGACTGGGACTTGTTTCTCATGGTCCAAGCTTTTTCAGGTTTTGTTGCAGATTATTGGTGAGCGTGACGTTGCGTCGTCCAACATGTAGATGTTCAGATTCCGCTTAGAGCTGCTTATGACTTGCGATCACTGGGACATTTGTAGCTGTCATCACATGAAAGGTAAACACACCCGCATGCCACATGCTAAACCAACGTTGTAAAATCCTTCAGCCACAGTCTGTCAAGCCAAGGGTGTGGTGTGCCTGATGCTTCTTTGACCAGGACCCAGCTGGAATCGAATGTTTCAATGTGCCAGTGCTAGACATCATGCACATTTGAGTTCACAACGTTTATGCAACAAACAGGTGCAACGGCAACATTCTTCAACGCCGAAATCGGGACACATGCCCTTGCATGACATGCCCTTGCATGACATGCCCTTGCATGTGGGGTTCACATCATGCTCATCCTCACCTCTGACCTGCCGGAGATGGAGTTTTCCACATGTCACAGCCTCAAACAAAGCGATCAAAACGAGGAGGTAGAGCCCCCAAGTTATGACCTCCCCACATCACTGCAACAGGGTCCCACATGGAGACCGCACCAGGGTCAACCAGGGTCAAGCAGGGTCAACCGCTCCGGTTATGTGCGTGTGCGTAGCCGGCCTCCTCTGCTCGTCCAGTGCTTTGCTGGCATTCTCCACCCTGGTCTCAAAGGGAGGGCTCAGACTGGGTGGGTCATAGACCCCATCTTTGATGTTGCTGGATTTGGTTCACCAGTCTGTCTCAAAATACTCAATGGTGGATGTTGGTGAGTTCCTCTGTGACGAGTCATCGCTTCTTCCGGAAGCTGTGTGTCAAGTCGATGTACCACGAGATCCTCGAGTGAACTTTTGGGTGGGTAGTCCTCAAGTTCAAGAAGCACTCTCTGATTCGCACCACTTTGAGCTTGCCACTCTTCTGCACATGTTCCTCTTGCAGCAGCCTGGATGTTTGAGCTCCAACAAAAATGGATGGGGGTTAGACTAAATCAGAAGCCTGGTTTGGGCAGGTCAAATTCCGCCAATTCCTCCACCTGTCTTGCTTGGGAAAGTAGCAGATTGTCTCACGTCCGGAACCCCCCCAGCAGCTCCGATCCGCTAAGGCATCTGCAGCCGTTTCCCGTGCTTCGGCCAGGTCTTTGTTCCTTTGACACACCAAAAAAAAATTGCGGTATACAACAAACGCAACAAACGCACCAAAACCCTTCACCGGATTGCAGTCTCGGTCATGTTCAATAGTAACAAAGGGCATCGCTACTAGGAGCAAGAACGCTACTAGTAGCTCCCGGCATCGCTACTAGAGGCAAGAAGCTACTAGTAACAAGGGAACTGACTGCGGCCAGTTCTAGAGATCTTTAGGAATAGTTACAAGGGCATCGCTACGAACGGAGCAAGAAGGTACGAACGTAGCTGCTGGCATTACTACTATAATTGTAACAAGAAGCTACTATGAACAACGGGCATTACTACTACTAGGGCACGTTTTCTCTCCGAGTGCGGTCCTCTCGGTGAGCTCACGTCTCAGTTCCTCCATCTGAGCTTTGTTGCCCGAAGCCTCCATGGTCAGAGTCAATGAGAGCATTTTGGGCTATATAGCCCATCCCGAAATGAAGAGGGTGTGGAACAAGGACACCCAAGAAATCCAGCCAGATGGGTCAAAACCGCGTAACCCTGGATGACCTACGACAGTGAACATGATTCCGGATTCCTCTATCAGGCCGGGATATCAACTTGAACCATGGTTTATCATTGTTTGTAGGGTGAGGTGGAACGACCCACCCCCCATGGCGACGGCTCTGCGATGCTCTGCGCGCTGCATCAGCCTGACCTTCGCCAGCTGGGATTGTAAGTCTGAGATTTCCGTGGCCAGCTTCTTCTTGGCCTCGCGCACATCGAAACACAGGCACGTCTCGGGTGTCATGCGCCATGTTGTGAGTCCAAAACACACATGTTCGACACAGGCTCCAACAAAAAAAACTCCTTTGATCGCAAACAAACCAAAATAAAGATGAGAGACCAGTCCCAAATTTGCCGTGGGATGCCGTGGGTATCTTTCTGAATCAAATCGGAGTTGGCCTCGATTTCCGTCTTCAAGGACCCCTCTGCCGAGCTGAGCTTCGTTTTCAGACTTTGAAGCTCCTCGGTAGCGTCTTCAGTTTCGACATAGGTCAAGGTCCGGGTCGAGGACGCGCAAAACAAAGACAGCACCTGCCTGGTGCATGAACACAATTTGCAGAAACGTTTGTGGGTGGTTATGCTATATAAATCGATATAATAATATAATATCAACACAGCCATCCCGAAAACCTATGCGCCAAGGCCCAGCTTCTGGCAACAACATGACCGGTCTGCAGGAATGAGTGAACATGTCAGGAGTGGTCATATTGGTTGGGTATATCCTATTACCAGCAACAGTGGATGATTATGGTGAGTAAAGGGTTGTTCTAAGATAGTGATGTTCTTGTTTACAGTCAGTTGCAGGTATATAATAAGACAAACCCAAGACATATTGGACATAGAACATGGGTGAACAGTAGATGGCCATCTATAAAGGTCATAGAACATGTCACGTCCCATGTCTCGAGCTGCGGCCCTCCTCGACCTGCTGCGAGGCATCGGCAGTTCCCTTCTCCTGGCGATCAAAGGACAGGGACAAGGAATCCGCTTCTGCAGGATTCAGCTGTCCTCCAGTTGTTTCAGTGTGATTCTTCTCTAGTTCTCCTTCAGTTGTCCTCCAGTTCTCCTGAACTGGAGTCGCTGTCCTCCAGTTCTTTCTCCAAGTCGCTGCAATGCACTTTGCTGGCCTCAGTAAACATGTTGCTGGCCTTTGTGACGCATCAAACACATATCAAAACGTACTGTTGGATTACGATTGGTCATAAGGTCATCAATAATGCAAACACATTCAAACAATTACTCTTACCCCCATGTTTGTTCAAAGGATCGTTTATTGTTCACATTCTGGTAACTTGTTGTTGTCTGAAAGCCAATTGGGATTTTAGTTTCTTCTGAACCCTGTCCACCTGCACTCCCCCTCCCTTCCCGGGCAAGGAACAAAAAGGATTGCTTCCCAAAGCCATCAATTCCTTTATCAATCCTTTATGTGAAGATTGCTCCTAATGTTTAATGGGCTGTCATTTGTGCTTTGTTCTTCCCCGAGGAAAACAAATCAAATCCTTTCCTGACGTCTTAATACTACTACACCACTGGCTGGCTTGCTGAGATCCTTTACTTAGCTCCTGAGGCCAATGGTGGTGACATCAAAGAAAAACAAAAACAAACAAACAAAACAAAACAAACAAACACAAACAGCAAACATGCGACTCAGCTGAACAAAAGCACCCCATTGAGGCATTGCCAAGAATAACTACAAAGAACCTGAGAAAGGACACTTGATACAATCTATGAAAGGTAAATTAATGCGACAATCGATTGCAAAAGGACTCCTCCCAGGAATCCAGATGTGGTTTGGTGGTAGTTTTATTCATGCTGGCCACCCATTTGCTTAGGAGGAGGGGGGACCCATATCTACCAATCAAGATCCGACATGATCATACAAACCATCTGACAAACATGACATGTGCAATCCCACTCCTGATCTACTCCGAAGCCATGCTCTAACACCAAAAGCAAATCGAACATCATAGGACCTGCCTGAAGCTCCTCTGTCAGCCGCTCGATGTGACCCTTGGCTTCGTCGTGCTCAGTGGCCACCCTCTGAAGCTGCTGCCTTGACTTCGAGAATCAACAAAACAGAAGTAGAACATGCCATGCCGCCACGCGCACACACACACACATGCAGCTAGCCGTGCAAAAAAAGCAACATTTCCAAACATATTCAATCTCTGTAATGTACAGCCATGGAATGTTCAGCGTGAGACCAAAGCCTTCAAAGCTCTTGACACCCAGAACACACAAAGTAGAATCGTTGTCGACATGCCCCCCCTTGAAGGTGCTGAGTCGACTCAGATCGAAGCTTCTATGGTAAAACGACCGTATATAGTGACGTGTCTCAATGTAATGATATATTGAAGTTCTATGGCTTCTATATCTTCTATGTACACATAGATCAATCTCAATTGAATGATGTCTTCAGTTCATTCCACGCGTCCAACATCTTCGTCGACCTTTTCATCAAACATGACTCGTGCCCCAAAATACATCATCTGGTCTGGTTTCCTGTTTCCACGATCACCTGTGTTCGCCAAGAAGATATGGACGCCGGCTAGCCGGTGAAAGCATTTCAGGCTCGATGCGCCCATGCGCAATGAAACATTAATTTCATTTTGACAACCTTTGAAGACAACGACATTCCCATCACATCACGATCGGCTGTCGATGCATTCGGCAACATTTGGCCAAAAAGCATCTCTTCCTCCCATTTCGCCAGCCGGTCGGCATTGGCTGCTGCTTCTCCCTGATCGCCCGGCATGGCCAGGCAACAAGCAACAAGCAAGTAGTTGCAGGTAAAACAAACCATCCCTGCCTTAATCTGCTCAATCTCTTCATTCTTTCTCTCCAGTTGTGCCTTTTTCGGAAGGCGCATGTCCCAACCAAATTAATCCGTGATAATCGGCGTATCCAAACTTGAAGCCTTGGCCTCATCAAAAAAGAATGATTTATGGCACCTTGAGACTTTCCACCTCAGCATCAGCAGTCTTCGAAGCAGCCTGATGCTGAAGAGCCGGAGAACAATATGAAAAATAGAAACACGTCCCAACACCAGCAGTACACCGTATTTGTATTCTCCGAGAAGACACTAATTGCTGTGCTTCAAGTAGATTCGTAGATCAACGTGCGCACACAAATAGAACAGCAAGCTGCGCAAGCGGTCCACACAAGGAAGAAACAACGTTGCGCGCCTCTTTTCGCAGGGTCTTGAGGTCCTGGTGGCGTCCAAAAAGGTACTGTATATGAATATAATCTTTCTCACGTGAGAAGCAACATTCATGCTAAAGGTACCTGATGTGTGTTGTTTTTGAAAAGAATCGACCTCAATGGCCAACCCAATGGAGTTCCTTTTCTTCTTAGGGGTCCGGCTAGTGAGGCCCCTATGCTGCGCACATGCTGGAGATGGGTGAAAGCTGGGTATCAATTCCAGTACCAGTGACAATGGATGATGATGGTTGGGTTGCGGGCATCTCTCAAAAAGAGTGATCATCTTTCACCGACTGCTCTGCTGGTTTACCAAGGTCACACCGGTCACTTCTGCGCGCCCTTGAAACAACCCAACTCGAAGACGGCATGGAACCCATCCGTCGGTCACCAGCATGAGTCAACCATTCGGATCTGAGAGATTCGGATTTGGCGTGCTTTTTGCTCAACCTGTCGGAGTATCCCTTTTGCCTTGTGTGTTGGACACCGTAAAAAAACGCCCCAAGTTGAAGCTACCGGGATTGGATCAAGCGGCTTCCCGCCCCGTCTGAGACGCAACACCCCAAATAGGATCAACGCGGTCAGAACGATGTGCGGAGATCATCTCCCAAGATCATCACAACGACATGGTTTTTTGTGCATGGAGAATGAGAACATAACTTTTCATGTGATTTTTCGAGTTTGAAATGGCTCTGCCTGGTGTCTGACATCCAGCACTTCACCAACTTGGCAAGTGGGGCACTTGACTCTGTCAGAAATGCCTCCCAAACAGCCCACACCCAGTGACCACCCTGACAAAACAAACAAGACATGTTGCGCCAAACTGGGCCAAATACCACAATGGCGCCATCCCCATTCTTGTTGCCAAACGCCAATTGATACTTTCAAGTGATCTCAAGTCAGAAGTTGGAGCATGACTACATGCTGCCCCAAAGCAGCGCTCCTCCTCCAATCTTGTAACTCTCTCTTCGTACGCCTTGTTCGCTGAGCTGACTGTTGGGAGCCTTTGAGTAGAACCTGCACTATTTACGATGACACATTATGCACAATTAAATTCTGAAGATGTCAAGTATCACTGTGCATATTGTCTCGAAGAAGTCTTGCCCCAAAAAAAACATGACAACACGCATTTGTGCATGATCTCCACTCTCAAGTCACGTTTACGAAGGAATCGCCTTAAACAAAAAAAACCTTCACATTTGCAGTGGATAAGATTGCTTTAGACCAAATCCCGCCAAAACAAAAAATTCCTCCAAAGGGCTGTAGCCGAAAAGCTCTACCTTTGGGGGAATATGGGGAATTGGTAACACCTGCTGAGTCATCCTGCTGACTGATTTGGGTTTTCGGAGTCAAACCCAAGCAAGGGTGCACCACTTTGGAAGTTGCCATATATATAATATATATAAAATATATAGTGTATAACCCCCAAACTGCTTGGTGGTTTCAACTCACTTGAAAAATAATCAGTGGGTTCAATCATTCCAAGTACAGGTTGAGAAAAATCTCTGAAACCACCACCCAGCGTAGCTCTTGAACATTCATTGACCCTCCTCTAGTGGGAAATCCTTGGTCAACCCCACGTCTCCCTCAAAAAGAGTTCACTCCATTCACGTCTATCTTTGAATGTATCCAATCCCATCCCATTCACATAAAGAGCCACTCACAGAATTGGTTTAAGGGAACATCTACAGGAAAGCCATGGTCTTGGGATGTTCGGGGCATGAAAACAAGGGTTTCCTGCAGATTTCCCTTAAACCAATTCATTGAGCCACTGGAGAAAGAAACACCTCCGGTCGTCCTTCAAATGTCGTCCAACCAGGTCTCCCAGCCGAGCATTTCCGGGAGGTGCTGGCCGCTTCACTGCGAAGCCGCGTTGCTTCCGCCTCGATGTGCTTGCTGAAACACCGAAAGGTGCCCCCGAAAGCTCCGTTCGTAGCGTCCGATCGCTCCTAGTAGCGATGCCAGGAGTCCCTAGTAGTTTCTTGTTACTAGTATACAGTAAGGCCAGGAGCCCCAAAAGTGTATGTGCATGTATATATAGCGATGGCCGCCACCCTGTGATGGCCTCCAACCTACTAGCGATGGCCTCCAACTACCCCATATATATAGGTTGACCTACCTGGTATCTAATCCATTCTGTTCATTTTCGGTACCAGTCGGTCTGCCGGCTTCGACCGCCATGGCTGGTGGTTTTGATGAGCATGTTTAGGTTGCCTGTTTGAATCAAAAGGATTCCTGAAAGATCCATAAAGTAATAAAGCTTTGACGGCATGTTCTTTGCTTCTTTGTGGATTCTTTTGGCTATTCTTGTGACTTGTGGCGACCATTTTCAGACCTTGCATTCTACAATTGTACACTTTGCATGGTTTTCCAACTTGTTCAAGGTGGCCTTCCAAATCGATAACAAGTCGCCAGTTGGTCAACATAACCGGACCATTTTCACGATAGGATTCTGCACCAACCGTGGGAACCAAATGAAGAGATTCGTGCGAATTTATGAATAATTAGCTGTTCTTCTTTTCCACCTGCGACTCTTGAAGCTTCTTTTGAAGGCTTTCCTGCAGTGAAGATTCATCTGCTCAGAAGAAAAGCTGGACCCAGCTGATTTCAGAGTCTTTGTGTATCTGTTTGTTAGGGTTTTGACCACAAACATATTGATCACCTCGGACTTCAAGAGCTGCTCGATCTCCACCTTTGTCTTTCCATTCTGCGAGGCCAACTCCTCACATCTCGCAACACTATCGTCACTACCAAAAGCAAGCACGTGTCACATGTAGCAGCTTCAGCAGCTCCTGCTGCAAGCGCGCCTGAGTAGGACGTCATGAAGAGAACACTGCACACAACCCTCTGAAGGTGATAACTATAGGATGTTTCTTCGCACCTCAACTCCACAACTGCAAACCGAATAAATCCAAGTAACCTTCTCGGTCCTCACTTGCATCTCGTGCTTCTCCTCACGGGTCAACATCTCAGCACAACACCTCCCACCCATCTCCTCGCTGTACCGCCGCAGAAAAAGAAAGCGTCCCCCGATGCCTGCAGCTCCGCAAAGGTTCTGTCCCTTTCCTTAGGCGAGGACCGGCATGGGACGACGGACGGCACGGTGGGGCATACGACGTACGACGCAGAACTCCCATGAAGGTCCCCCCGGTTTGACGAATTGGTTCTTCCCACCAAGTCCGGCCCAGGATGGCTTAGGTTAGGATGGCCATCTGTGTTGTCCAAACGCTCCATGGGACTGCAATGTGCTCATGGGTCCCTCGGCGCACTCATGGGTCATCTGGGTCCCTCGAAAACGGCCCGTTGGGGCGGCCCGACCAATTCAAACTCCTTCTCCAACTCGAAGCGATGCCTCAGACTCTCATTCGGACCCTCGCGCAGTGGAGACTGAAGCATGTCCGGTGATTGAGTGCGGTTTGTGATAAAAAACGTCATTTTGAGACATAAATGAATCCGGGGGCGAGGGCACATGGGGCAAATCTTTCAAGGGTGTATCTTTTCCTGCTCAGGAAAAGAACCATTGATCAATGGCTAAGGTGGACTTGAGCTCTCTAACTCTATGTTACTCTGTTACTCAAGGCAGCTGGCAAGGCATGCTTGAGAATTCTAACAAGGAACAACGACATGTAGAACGATGCATGAGTTCAAGAACACTATGACATCACAGGCCATCTGTGATCAGGACTTTGCCAGCTTCATCTTGTGCTCAGCCTGACCCGACAGATCTTTTTGATTCTTGTCTTGGTCAACCCTCAACTTCGGACAAGGGGATGGGTCGTCTGAACCAAAACAAGCTTGACCCCCATTGACTGCTTTCGCAACGGGGCTTTCGCTCTCCTGCATTGCGGCCATGGACTTCTCAAATTGATCTTCCAACCTGAGCAGGCATTGAGACGAAGCCCAGAATCCAACTAGCTAGCTTCAAGACATGAACATCATATATCCTTTGGCTCGCGCTTCACTTTGTCTTCCTTCAAGCCTGTTCAAGCGGTGCAAGTGTGGCATAGTATAGCTGACCCCTCCAGTTCATCCACTTTTCATGATCTTTTCTTTAAAACAGAACAAAGGCAAAACCTGGGGAATTTCACGATTCCAGCATCGAACCAGTGACTTCCACGTGACTTCCACGCGCCTGCTTGAGCCTCTGCCCTTCCGGCTCCACCTTCCGCCCCCTGCGTCGCCCGTGGCGCTTCTTCGGCTTGACCGGCGTCGACCGGTCGACGAGCCCCGCCCGACCTGGAGGCTCGGTGGCCTTGGTGGGAGGGCGGTTGGTGCGTTCGGCGCGGTCCGAAGCGGGTGGTCCAGAAGCTTTTGGCGTTTTTTTGTCGAATTCATATCACAAGCTTATATACTTTCTTCTTTTTTCGGTCTGAGGTGGTTTCAACTGTCTTCATCTCGTTCGTTTGGGATGAGGACTTGGTGGAGGAAGACTCCAGCTGTTAGCATATGTTCTTGTTCGTTTTTTTCTGAAAGTATCTATACTCGTTCAAAGGCCCAAGAAGAAGTGCCCTGGGGGTCTACAAGATCTATATACGAGCTCAGGCTCTCCAGTCTTCCCAACAACATCCCAACATCTGTGTTCTTCCGATTTTTCAGACGGATGACGCAAGGGTTGCGTCGCCTCATGAATTATTGAATGATTGAAACATGTTGAAAACCATTTTCATACTGAGTCGTGTTGCATGTTTGATCCTGTGAAACACTCATCGAGTGTCTGACGGCTCTCCACTTGGAGGCAGCGGTGAACCGGCTGTTGGCCGTGGCCTTAGACACAGAGAAAGAGAAAGAGAGAGAGAGAACAATAGCAGAAGCACCGAACAATCCTGTGTAGAGTACTGTCTTCCGGTTCAATCTGAAATCTTCAAACATCCATCCCAACGCGCTCGAGATCTGCAGGAAGACATGTCGCGAGTAGAGGACGCGGGGCGCCCGGCACCGCTGTCGCTTCTGCTCCGCTTCTGACCGCAGCAGGAGGAGCCATGCGCACTGGCTCCTGGCAAGGATGGGCGTGTTGGATGAAGCTGGCGATCCCACATCTGGAGTCAAAAATGAGAAAATAGATTGATCTATAATAGTCTATAAGTTCATGAAATTCCTAGTAGGTCGGTTTGGTGCTAACCACGAAATGGTGGGCGATCGAGTTGATCCAATTGGAACACCGCAAGAGTTCCCACATCTCCTTCGGGGAATGAGCCGAGTTGGCTTTCTCAACAGATTTTTGGACCAGAAGGAGAAGGAGCAACCCATCTGCCACGCCTCACTCTGCTCCACCTCGCTCAAGATGGACTGTGAAGGGACCCTGGCCACTGACTTTACTTGTGCAGCTGTTCAAAGCCCTGCACGTGACTGGCTGGTACTTGCCCAATCAATCAGGGAAGGAGTCCCAGGTTGTTCTGGAAATGACTTCAGGTATATCGGTATATCTATGGAATCCTCATAGGTGGTCATGTCCTTTTTTCAGCCTCTTCCACCCGCGAGTCCAACTCGCTGGTTCTAAACGAGTTCGGGCGATCCGGATCGATCGATCGCAGTGAATCGCATGGATTGGCCGGATCCGACCAGCACCGTGTCGGCCTTGAAGACATCTTGGACTCTGAAGATGGGGCCTCCTGTTTCGACGTCAGCGGTTCGCCCACTTGGACATGTCTCAAGCTGTTTGAAGGGTCTTGAGATGAAGGAAACCCGACTCTCGCCTCGATTCCAGGGCTTGGCAATTCAGCCAACTTGCCTGACTGAGGGGCATGACAAAATATTTGGTGGTTTCAACTCATTGAAACATATGTGTCAGTACTCAATCATCCCATATATTGCCGGTTGAACATACAAATATGATCAAATATTATATATATGGCTGCGAGTCAAAACTCCCCCACCACCAAACATGGTCGGTTAACGTCCCTTATAGAGCAAAGTATCTTAATAGGTTCATAGTCATATTCGGTGGTCAAGCAGGGTGGCCCAGTTTTGACCCCGGAAAACACCACCCAGTGAACATCAGTGAACAAAATAATCCAACACAAATCACAGGTTCGCTAAGTGCATGGCCAATGCCTCTTGCACTGAGCGGAGCGAGCGGAGCCAGGGTCTTCGGTGCCTGTGAAATTCACTGCACCACGAGTAGCGAATGTCTCGCCAAAATGCACTGCTAGGCTAGGGCTTATTTCGATTATGGTGTGATCAAGACACAGCACCCGTGTCTCCTCCGGAATCCGTTCACCAAATCTCTGGGCGCAGATCTTTTTGCCGCCCCGCCAAATCGGGGATCGGTGCTTGGCCTTTCAGTCGGGACCCCTGGTGCCATGAGTACAGTGGTGGTCGCCCATCTTTGCCTCCAGGCGACTCTCTTCCTTCTTCGGTTTCTTCTCCTTCTTTTCCTGTGGTAGTAACAAGTGCATCCCTACTATAGTAACAAGGGCATCGCTGCTGGTAGCTCGAAGCTATAAACATGACACGAAAGCCGAATTGTTACTAGGAGCTTCCAGCTTCTAACCGCCAGCACAGCTTGCTGCCCGTGCCGATACACATGAGAAGTTGCTGATCATCAGATCATCATGGTTAATGGATCATTAATTACATGATTAAATTACACATAAGCCAGTCCAACGTTAATTATACTAGCTCTTATGTAATTGGAATATAAGTGGAGAGTGGTTCCTTGGCGATCTTGAGGATTGGTGCAAACATGTGCAGTTGTTGGTCTTCAGATTCTGAGGGTTTGTGCTGCAGTGTTCAGATGTGCTGCGGCGTTCGTTCCAAGCATCCGAGGCCGCCCACCTTCTTTTTCTTCTTCTTCTTGCCATCTCCCTCACCTGTCCAGTCCACCCACGGGCGTCATCGGGCCCAAGTCACGGGCTAACGACGACGCCCCGGCCTGAAAGGCTCAAGGTGCCACCTGAGAGTGGTCCCGGTACTGGTCCGTCCAACGGGGCGCGGCACCGTTTCAGGCGGCAACACCGGCGTAGGCCCTTCGCCCGGGACGTTCGGAAAAAGACACCCAGGGCGGTCGGTCGGGCTTCGTTTGATCGCTGGCGGATTCTGGGCGACGGAAGTGTGGTCCCAGAAGTGTCGTCCCTGGAGCCGAATCCTGGTCTGAGGGGCTCTAAGGGGCTCAGATCGGTTTGAGGGACCACGGGGTTGTGAACGGAGCGAGGTGCCACCTCTCTGTTTCTCTGGTCCGTGGATCGAGATGCGGGTGATGCGGGTGATCGAGAAGTAGGAAGGGCATGGAAGGGCCGGGCACTGGGCCAGGCGGCTCAGGGTGGAAAAAAGAACCTCGGTCCGTTCGGCGAAGAACCGGGTCCTCGGGACCCTTTTGGACTTGTTCGAAGTGGGAGCAGTGACCAGTAACTGTCACGCGGATTCATGCACTGCCACCTTCTCAAAGGGGACAACAGAGCTGACTGTCGACAGTCGACGCCACGTCGACACAAAGGTGTCGCCATGATCACCCGATCCATAAGGAAACGATGTATAGATATAATAGATCCATAGGATTCCATCGAAGGTATGTATGATCAAACACATCGCGAGAACTCGAAACTAGATGAAACTAGCTTTCGTGAGTTTAATATGTGATTGATCATTTCTGCAATCTGACTCCTGCCCTAAAACAGTGGAGTTCATCCCCTGCTTGGTGCTGGCTGAGTCTTACTCATTAGAGGAGCAAAATTTGAACATCTTTGAACTTTCTGATGACCTTATGATCGATTTTTATGAATCACTCGATATCAAACGAAATCAAATGCCGCTTGCTCAGCCGTGTCTCCAAGTCATGGAACATCTGTGGCCGTCACTCCGCTTCGATACGTTTCAGAAAGAGGGGCTCCAGTCCGTCGGGTTAACGGGTGAACAAAAAGAAGGGATGAACCACAGCTGAGGACCCCCACCACTTTGACCCAAGCTGCCACTCTCCTCCAAGGGGTCACCTCAGAATCTTGAGTGGTTCCGTGTTTTACATGATTCTACCGTAGAATTCGACCTGTCTGACCGCCCGTCGACTCATCGAATGGAGCAAGCACGGCCGCGAGCGACCTTTTGAGCACCCACAGCATCGATGCAAACACAGCACAACGTGCCATGCGAGGCCCTGGTTTTCGCGCTTGCGAAACCCAGTGATCCTGGCACCAACGATGAGTCTGCAGCTAGAGTGAAGCTAGTATTTACATGGTCACAGCAAGGGATTCCAGCGGGTGTTTTCTAGAATAGCAAGGGAAGCCTTTGGCCCTTTGTACATCCCTTTTCAATTGGGTCAACCTTTTGATCCTTTTGTCGATGTTCCTCTTACTTTGCGATCGATCTTGAGAAGGTTTTCCCCCCTAAGAGTCGCCTCAAACACCCAAGAGTCCAAGCTGTCTAGAAACGTCGGCTGCACAGCACCGTCCCGTTTTGGACCCATGCAGCAGCCGCGAGCCAACCGACGGGCCAACCGACGGCTCCTCAGCCGCGAGCTAGGTCCGTCGAGCTTGAGTGTTCCATGACAAGGCTCGGTGGCTTCCAGGGCCTCGATTTCAGAGCATCCTTGGTCTGCTGTAGGGTCTCGCGAATGGGATTGGCAGGACGCGATGCCTGTCCCACCTTGTGGAAGGTGGTCCCCTTCGTCTCGCCAGGGAGCAGGCCACCGGTCATCTGTGTCCACCAATCTGCATTCAGTTGGCCCAAATCCGTCACATCAGACACCGAAGCATCGCCAAATTGAACAAACTTGCCGGGAGTCGTGTGAAAGAGGGAGGCACCTGGCTCCCTCGCCGGGAGCTCGGCACCGAACTGTCCACTAGGCACCTGGGTGCGGAGCAGCTGGATGTCACCCACTTCACCAGGCTCGATGTCCGTCGCAAAGCCATCCAATGTTTGGACCTGATGACAAAGCATGGCAAAAGCGGAGACAAAGACATCTCGTTCCCTGGAAGAAGCGAAGGCCAAAAAGAGTAGACCATTGGAAGGCCCAGAAGGCCATTGGATGCCAGCTTTGTACTGCTTCTCTGATCTGGTATTTCTCATCGCCGCACCAAAGCCGTTGTAGGAGCTGGTGTCCTGTGTGAGGATATCCTGGACCAAAGCAAGTTGGATCTCATGCTTGCTGCGGCCACGCTTGGCGCCTTCAACCTGACAAACTGAAAGCTTCCTGATGGCTTTATCCAAGATCAGGATGCAAGGCTCGTTCTCACCCGCCTCGGAGATCAGCCGTGAGACGTGGCCACGGACCAGCTCACGGACAAAGGCCTTGATCGTACTAATCGAAGGCCGTTGACTTGGAACACTGGATTTCTCACTGTGACTGGAATTCACCTTCTGTACTGCATTTGGAGCGTCCACCGAGTCCGAATCGCCCAAAGCTGGTCCACTCCAGGAATTTCCTTCACAAGGCCGCAAATTCCAATCCAACTGCTCACCTGCTTCCCTGGTGTGTTCAGACTTCACAGATGTGGCGAAAGGCCTCTGGCTGTTGGCGGTCTCTGGCCTTCGTTCCTCCGGTCTGATCGAGACTCGATTTGCTGATTCAGTGACCTCACAGCAGGGCGCCCAGCCTTGTCCCATTTTTGTCAAGTGGGACGTCCCATGGTGCCAAGATTTTCATCCGAGTCGAAAGAGAGCTCAAAGCCTGGGAAAACTACATTTCTGAGCTCAGTGCAGAAATGAAACACATGTTGCATTTGAGCTAATATTTTGCACGGCATGCAAGAGCAAACAAGAGCAGCAAGAAAACACAAATTAGAACAAATAACAGATGAAAACAACAACAACAATCAATCTGCAAACCAACTGCGCATGTTCGGCTCCTGGAATTCAAGTGTGAGATCGACGACGATTCTACCAAACTGTTCCAATCGATCCAGCATGATCGCACTCTGTTTCACAGAACTCCAAATCATTGCTAGCTGTCTACAGTCAGTGTATTTGCACATGTGAAGAACATCTCATCATTTAGCTTCTATGAGAGAAAAACATCAAATGAGGAATGAATACCAAAAGTTAGGTATACGGATGCTTTGTTGAGGTGTTTGTTTAGAGTTTTTACGCCAGTTGTAGTCAACAATCCTCTGCAACTCTGGATCGCGTTTTCGATGAAAACACCGGCGGCGCCCCCCGGCGCCCCCCATCTCTCAGAATCCGACCCTCTCTTTGTGTCGAGAGACCCAAGCCTCGAAAAGTGATGCACTCGTTGTCGAATCTCTGAGACTTCCAAAATCTGAGATCCCATTTTTTATGGATTAAAGTGGATTCCCCAGAGTTCAACCACTTCTTTAAGCTTTGTCCTTTTCTAAATTGAAGAGTCTCGAATCTTTATATACCTGGATTTCTGAGACCTATAGAACTCTGATCATGGCTGGTCTTTTTCTTGCTTCGAGACATGCATAGACTTCTCTCATTTAAAAAAGACACACTGCATGTATATGTGGAATATATATACATACATTGACCCCCAAAAAACAAATACAGCTAAATAGAGTTATTGTAAATAACTAGTTCATTCATATTTATGCTATACATGGATTGTCAGAGTACCCGCATCACTGTTTTCCGATTGGTGCAACACTGAGAATTCCACGTTCCGCGACCTCCTCCAGCTCCGCCTGAGCGAGCCGAGAGACCGATGGATGAACATGAGCAGAAGATCAGTTTTCATGGTTGACATGGACATCTATGTCTTTTTCTCCACTTCACACGTGCACCGCGGATATCCATGGATCAAAAAAGAAACAATCATCCCAATGAGTGAATCATAGATCATCATAGTGAAGCTGTATAATTCTTTTCCACCCAACACGGCATGCCCAAAAAGAGGAGCGTTTTTTTGGTTTTTGCCCCCCTATAATTACTCAAGACTGAAGGCCTCGGTCAAAGAAATCGAATCTTTCGGTCACCATCAGCTACTCAAGAAGTTTGGCCAGCAACCTACTAGCGTGGGTTTATACGGCCTCCAACCTAATAGGAACGGAACGGCATCAAACCCAGAAGAAATGGCCTCCAACCCTATAGGAATGGCCTCCAACCTAGAAGCGATGGCCTCGAACCCAATAGGAATGGCCTCCAACCTAGAAGCGATGGCCTCCAACCCAATAGGAATGGCCTCCAACCTAGAAGCGATGGCCTCCAACCCAATAGGAATGACCTCCAACCTAGAAGCGATGGCCTCCAACCCAATAGGAATGACCTCCAACCTAGAAGTGATGGCCTCCAACCCAATAGGAATGACCTCCAACCTAGAAGTGTTTAGTCCATGGGTGTTGGATGGTTGTGGTTCGATTCCAAACCGTTTCTGAGAGTCCGAACCTCATCAAAGTCTTCACCCAACCTCATGAAGGTCCAAAGGGCCAACGTAAGCGATTCGGAAGCGATCCAAATTCCAGGAAGGTCCCCTGTGAAGTACTGGGATGAAGCAGATAAAAAACACCTTGGAAATCGATTTTGAGGATGGTGCCGCCCTCGGAAACACGGAAAAAACGGCTTCCGGCATCACGTGCTGGAACCATCGGGTTTGGAAGTGTGATGGGACCTTGCAGGTCTAAGACTGAAATGCGGTTTGTCCCGGACGTCGATGCATTGAAACATCACCAAAATGGTGTGACATCTCCATCGCTATGTATGGGATATCGTATGGGAATGTGATGGTGTTTTTTCTTCAACAGTGATCCACCGCCCCGAAACCAGCCGGGTTCCCGTCCGCGCGGTTCCCGGAACCTGCGCCGCGTCCGGACGACCGGTGCGGTTTTTTTGGTTCGCTCGCCACGGACCAGGGCGGTGAAGATCCAACGCGGTGCAGAAAGCAATCTTGAGCGATCTTAAGAGCTGGAGCTGCTGCTGGAACTCGAACCGTGCCTTGCAACAGTCTTGGATCCTTCTTCTGAAAGGTGACACTCCTTTAAAGGATGAATCTTCTGAAAAGAGACCACCCAACGCATCTTACTGAATGAGAAAATGCACACAAACACCCAACACCCATGAGCAGGGAGGTCCTTTTGTTTAGCGTTTAGAGTGATCCTCACACCAGTCTAAGCTTTTCTTGCTGGAACAAATCGTCAAGTGAACATCCATCACATCCAACGTACTTTGACAACTTCTTGAGCTTGAACTTCTTCTCCTTCGAGCAATTTCCAGAATGCTTAAGAACTCGTTTGTGTATGTGTGGGCGGGTCCAAAACTAACATAGTTGGGTGCCTTTACAACTCCCCAATAATGTAGTAGAATGGAAGAGCTATTGAAAAACGTGCAAGCCACATCCGTCCGTTTATGTGTGACTCAGGTATCACAGCGTATCACAGCGTCCTTCTTATCCTTTTTCTTCTTCTTTTTGCCTCGTCAGCCATCACATGTGTTCAGTCTTCTGGTGAAATCGTTCTCTTTTTCGGCGATGGCCTCATGATTTTTTTGCATGCGTGTACGGTGAAAAAACGGAGATCGAAAAAAACAAATGCGATCTCCAGAGCGATCGCCTCCATGGTCATATGCACCCATCAAGAGCATGTGACCAGCAGCAGCAGGGCTCACAGGACCGAGAGCACCGGGATGACCGAGTGCACCAGGATGCCCTGTGTCGGCCACTCGAATTCCGGAACCCCAATCGTGGCCTAGTACCCAATGGTCCGAGCAAATATGATATACATATATACATCTTTATGATATTTTGTTAATGCTGCTATGTACCTTTTTTAGGTAGATCCATAATCCATATAGTATATTATTCTATTGAACATTGAGCAATCTCAAACTATCTCTCCAGCTATAGCAGTTGCCCGAAGGGACCTGCTACCCACTCTTACTTTGCAAATACAAACATCATCAGACTGCAAGGCTAGAAGGACCTGGACTGGGACATCCTGACTGTAAGCAGTAAACAAGCAAGTCTGGTTGGATATCGAATCAATGATGCATGTACAATCATGTGAACAAAGAAACATCATCTATACCAAATCCTCTGTAAGTTTGTACAAATAAAGCTTCTGCCTAGCATTTATATACATTGGATCTACTTCGTCTTGCTATCTCATTTTCCTAATCTTCCTACATCTCATTCCGCGACACTTCACTCATTCCCCAGCACCTGGCATCGCTCCATACCCAGCGGCATGTCCATGCATTCCATGCGCGTGCGGTGCCGCGTGCGGTGCGTGCGCACCTGCGTGCACACCTGCGTGCGTTCACATTTGGTTAAGTGAAGGTGGATCTGGCTTCGAGAGAACATCCGGAATTTCCGTGTGGGGAACGCAGTCGTCTCTTAGACTCAGTGAAACCGGGGCCTTACCTACTCCGAATCCAATTCTGCTGGACGTGGTTCCACGAAACGACAAAGAGGGGATCTTGCATCGTAAAACTACTGTATTTCATTGGAGTATTCCAAGAGCGTATTACGGACAGCGGCTTCCGGAAGGATCTCATCCATGGTCCCTGCACCGTGTCGCAAGGAACGGAGGGCAACAGAATGGTTGTCGCCCACTTTCCGCTCATCCAGTGTGGTGAAAGGGACTCTCCTGCTCAACGGCAGAAGGGCACCCCAGTTTGAGAGACTCTGTCCCCTTTGGCTGCGCAGCTTACGTGGGCAACGCGAGCAAACACGTTTTTTCGGCCTGCCCGGCCTGGATATCCAGGCTTCTGCCATTGAATCGCAATCTTCAACTTTCCGGCTTTCTGACAACCTCCAAAGGTGTGCTTTCGGATGAGCTCCAGGACTCCTGGTGCTGAGAAAAGACACTTTGGTCTACAGATGTCTATAGTATATTGATTGGCACTTGAACAGACTACAGTACCGCTTAGCTGCCCAGGCAAAGACTCCAAGCAAATGTATCGTTTCATGGACTTGAACTCTTCCCAGCAGGCTACTCAACTCAAACCACCCAACATCAATTCAGTCTCCTGCGAAATCGTGGTGAAGTGGAAGACCTTTGTAAACGGCCTCTCCAATCACCCCATCTGCCACCAGCACATTACTGTCCATCACCAAGAAGTGGATATCTGGCTCGCCGCGCCAGTCGATGACCTGTGCCCAGTGGAACTTCGCCTTCTTCCCAGCATTCGTCATCACCGCGGTGCGAAACTCTCGCCCGCCGAGGCGGATGAGCACGTAGGGATCCATCTTGCCGGTCCAATCCTGAGCGAAGCGAACTCGAATGAATTCAAGCGAAGCGAATTCCCAAAGAAACAGAACATACTGTACCTCGCCCCGGCTGTACAGGTCTCCAAAATGGTGGCTTTTGGAGACCTAAAAGTCGCAAGTGGTGACCTGTTGGAGGGTCCTGCCATAAAAGATTTGCTCATTCTCGGAGAACACCTCGCGAATTCAAAAGAATTCGAACAAGCACTGTGTTCATTACAAAGACATTGCTGCCGTTTGGTAAAACTATCTCCCACTTCCTTCCGGGTGTGTGCCTTGGGTTCATGGATGCTGTCTGCATGCCTTGATCAAGATCAATTCAGAGCATTGGCACAAGCGGAAGGCCCGCCCCAAAATGACCAGTGGAACATTCCCCAACGACCAGTTGACGATTCGTTGTTTTGTTTTGATGACCATTTAACCCACACACAAACCTTCTTAGCCCGCACTAATCCGTATCAAAACTGAACATAGCTTGCTTGGGGGGTGCACTACCGCCGGGCCCCCGGATCAGTTAATCGAAAATCTGGGGGACCAAACAACGAGAAAACATCCTACACTGCTCCAGTGCTGGATTGAGAAATTCAAGCCAAAAACATCAGAGGGGGTTGAGTCTTAACAAGGAACAATCAACAATCAGTCTTAGGTTAAAATCTGATGAATATGAGCCCCGACCTAATCAATCTGCAAACTTTGCTTCATGAAAATGGTGTTTGGAAAGTAACTCACTCGGATGGTTCACTTCCTTCTTACATACCCCTTGATTTATGTCGCGTCTTTTTCTCTCTTCGACAATCCCGATCCAAGTTGAGATTCAATAAATATACATTATATATTCTATAACATGACCTTAATCCATGAGTTCTGTTTTTTCTGCACACACTTCCCCTACCCCCTTTGAAATAGTTAATCCACCCCCTTAATGATTCATTGTAATTAATTAATCCAACAACCTTTTTCTGAGTGAATTTAAAGCAACTTTCTATGATGGACCCCCAGGATGTTTGCACAACTTTAGGAAACTCATACTAGGGCAAACTGTGTGTTTCTAGGGTCACAGCTGCATGTCAAAGGATGCGTGAACTCGACAAGAAAGGGTTGCGATCCAGGAAAAAAAGGTGCAAGAGATGTATACTATGTATACGTTGAGGAACACTCATCTTGAAAAAAAACATCAAGAAACACTTCTCTCTACATGATGTTGTTTCATCTAAATCCGATCACTACGTCCTCTTCAATACATGGTTTGCCCTCTCGGCCCCATCTGTGCCCCTCGGCCCGTTTGGTCTCGGTCCCATAGACCCGTTTGCCCGCGGAACGAACGTGGCTTCAACTCACTTGAAACATATGCGTCAGTGGGTGACCCATCAACCCGACACAATGAACATCGATGATCATGATGATCAATTAAATACATCAATAACTCCCAAAGGGTCCAAGTAACCCCAGTTCAACCTTTCTGAGGAAGTATGCGGAAGTTCGACCATGGTGCTTTGGGCACGTCCCAGACACACCAGCGATGCGGAAGGATTTTCTTGCCCAAGGCACAAGGTCATAAAGGTCCTTGGCACTTTCCACTGACAGCAAGAACGCACCAGGTCCAGCATAGGATGGTCCAGGGCCACAGGGTGGATAGATTGGAGCATGCGTCGGACCGTGAGCAGGGTGAGCACTGGGCCCACTGGGCCCACTGGGCGACAATTCAGGTGGCATGACGTGTCCAATCACCACACTCTCTGCCTGAAACGAAAAGCACTCGGTCAAGTCCATGTGTTCGGGGATCTTTCGGGGAGGATGCATACCAGTGGACTCGTGTAGTATGTGGGGCAAATCATCGATACATGTGCGGCAACATCTTCAAACACATGACATACTTGCCAGTGCTGCTGAAATGCAGGCACATGATTCTTGGCATCACAAGTGCCATCGTGACCCTGGCCCGTGGCGCACCTGGCGGCAGTTCGGATTTGGGATGATTGTGGATGCATGATGCGTTCATGATTTTGGGTGCGAACCAAATCTGCTCCATTCATCCGCCAAAGGTTGGGATGCAACGATGCTCATCGCTGTGCGCACCGTCCATCCATGGCTCCAGCCGACCCCAAGCGGCGCGACCGGCGACCGGCGACGGGGCGAAAGAACCGCCGCCGCCTGCGACAGCAAGTGTCGTAGCCTGACGCTGGGACTCTTCCACACTTCATTTTGCCTGAAGGACGACAGGTCTTGACACACGAGAAGCGAGCGTTGCGAGCGACAGGGCCTTGACTGGAGAAGCGGTTCCTCCGTTCGAAGAGGCGTCTTGGGAGAAAAGGAGAGAACTGACATTTGTCTTGGAGAAGCCAAGGGTCCTTGCTTTTTTCGTGTGCGTATGATGGGGTGTGGTGAGTGATATAATTGATCCTCTGCAACAAACAGAATCCCTCCAAACCCAGGTCAAAGAAGCTTGGGTACAATAACATAGAAACATAAGGGGAACTCACAGAGTGGCAGTGACGACTCTTTCTTT